CTCCAGGACACCCTACTACCTCTATAGACCAGAATGCCACTACTTTTAGGCATCCTCTTAGGATACCAGAGCTCAGAATATCAAATACTAGGACTATGCCACCAATGGACATGGATCCTGACTAGGAATCAGGGCCTGTGTATCACTTCTAGCTCATAAATATTCAACCATTCACTCAGAAATTTTTCAGGGGCTAAACCCATTGTCCCAATATTGCTCAACCACTAAAAATATATAAATAAGCCCACCCTTTTCTTAAGAAGGTAGGCGAGAAGAGCAATCCTTTTTAGTGTTTGTGTGTGTGTGTTTCTCCCCAAGTCCTTTTTAAGAGAAAGAAAAGGAAACTTCCTACATGAGGATTATAGGGATATACCACTTTAAATGATGAAGTTCCCGGGAAACAATCTTATATTATCCATTCATATATTTTTATTTTATTGACTTTTTTTCAGAGAAGAAGGGAGAAGGATAGAGAGTTAGAAACATTGATGAGAGAGAAACATCAATCAGCTGCCTCCTGCATACCTCCAACTGGGGATGTGCCCGCAACCAAGGTACATGCCCTTGACCGGAATCAAACCTGGGACCTTTCAGTTCGTAGGCCAACGCTCTATCCACTGAGCCAAACTGGTTAGGGCCCATTCATTTATTCTTGATGTTCATTATGAATAGTTCTGAATTGGACTAGTTATATTTAATCCTGAAGCTTCTCTCCCCGATCCCTTGCAGTGACATAATTATCTGTAAATATACACACACACACTCCAACAGAGTTCCTATTAAAAATACCTAAGATAAATTATTTTGGCATTAATAATCACTCCCTAATTTGTCTGCTTTGCAAGTTCCTAGGGTTTTGTTTGCATGGAGTATAGGTGCTTTCCTATGTCCCCAGCTCCAGCCCTCCGCGTGGTACAGCTCAGTTGCCAGTCCCCACCCCTGGACACCAGCCACAGCTCTCCCAATGCACCTTCTTGATATAGGCAGCAATGTCCTTCTCTATGTTGTACTTCTCCATAGCCTGCGTGGCGCAGTCAACGGCATCCTGTTGCATGTCCTCAGACATGTCTGCATTCTTGATCACGGCCTTCCGGTCAGACATCGTGACACTGCAGAAGAAGCAAAGATGTAAGGCTAACCAACCCCATGACTCTGGACAATAAGTATTAGTAACTGGGTGTGGGGCCTCAGTGGGAGAGGGGAGCACAGAGGGTAACAACAACAGAAAGCACAAGACCAGAGGCAATAGAAGGAGCACATAAGCTTTTAACTGAGATATGGCCTCCAAGCCTGGGAAATACAAGATAAATAGTAACAAAGATATAAGCCATCAGTTTTTATCATATATAAAGAGGATTTTCCAACTCTAAATTTATCTATTTCTGATATTTTGAGTAGCACCAATAGCCAAGACACTATAATATATCATCTGCTATCTGTGTCCTTGGACAAATTACTTAACTTCTGTATTTTCATGCCATTACTGCAGGGTTATCCGGAGGGTAAGCCAGGTGGCATAACACCTGAAGACAATAAACCCTTGATTTAATGACCATTATTACATCATTGGTATCACAGTAGAAAGAAGACAGACTAGGAATTTTAGCAACAAGGGTAGCAACAGCTAAGTATCAGGGGGCTGTTATAAGGCTTAATTAAAATTACACGAGAACATCTGCTAACAAAAAACAGTCTACGTACGGGTCTATCCCATTGGCTAGATATAGCCAGTCACCCCTTTTTGTAAATCATTTTAGAGGAACACACTACAATGGCAGAGATGAGTAGTTGCAAAAGACTGTATGGCCTATAAAGCCTACAATGTTTACTATCTGGCCCTTCACAGAAAATGTTGCCAACATCAAGGCTACCAATGCCCCATGGTGACATAACAAAAGGTGAAGAATTATTTTAACACCCCCTTTTCATAGCTCTGATATCTAAACCAGGGATTCATCCTACAGCAACATAAAGAGTTCTGGGGTAGGCCTTGCATGGTCCCTTCCTAGGATGACAGGAATCCCAGGAGGGCTGGCTAAAACCCGCCTAGCAGTCTATAGCATGTGAGGGTGCTTTTCAAGAATAAAGGAGTTGAGCTGCAAAATCCTATCCTCTGTCCTTGGCCACAGTTCTGTCACACAGAGCAGTAACAATCCACTCCCCCCCCCCAATGTCCCACTCCCCAAAATACACTCTGTGGGTCCAGCGTAGTGGACAAAACATGCTGTCATTCCAGCCCTGTCTGATACAAGGCTACACAGGATACTGCATGCTCAGAGATCCCTGGTATCGTTCCAGGCTACCCTGATCTCTGAATACACTAACATGTGGGCTGGGTAGGCTGAAAGGGAAACAGAATTCACAACTACTCCTTTAGCCTGTATCAGATGCAAAAAAATACATGCCAGGCAGCTGCCAGCTAGGCACCCTTAACTGAATCCAAAGCACCTCTGTCTGGCACTATCCATCCAAGCAGGGCTGGTTCTCCTTCAGCAGAGGCTGGCAGAGCTAAGGGTTAGTGGATGAGCACCCTCTGTCCCCACATCCCGGGAGGCAGGAAAAGTCAGAGCCTCAAGAGGAGTCTGTGAGCACTACCTATATGACCTTGGGCAATTCAACATAGTCTTTTTAAAAACCAGTGATTTTTAAATAAATGAGGCAACTTCGTGAGTTTGAGCAAAGGTACTAGAGCAGCACAGGGAGGATGTGCTGATATTATGTCTCGTTGTACGTCTTGTCCAGAAAACTAGTGTCGCCTGGTATCCTATTCCAGCTCCCCACTCAGAAGGGGGCACAGCTCATACACTCCGGGCGGGGGTGGGGCCAGGTGACCCTCGGCCAAGCTCAAGTACCAAAGGAGCACCCCTTCCCAGCAAGCTCACCTTGCTCCGCTGCCTCATCCCCAAAGTGTGCAAAGGAACAACTTTATCACAGTAATTAAAGCCACCTTACCCTCCAAGAGGGAGCCTGCAGTTACATAACGTCGGTCTTGTGACTACAATGCCACGATTCTTCACCCCTGGCCCCCCAGGCGGCTGAGAGGTGAGGCCTAGCCCCGGTCTCCCCTGTCCAAGGTGCCAGCGGGAAAGGGATCCGGAGAGGCCGGCCGAGCCCCTCCTTCCGGGGGGAAACAGCCAGGCCCTGGGCCTCCAGACAGAAGGATAACCGGGGGCCCAGGCCAGCCGCCTCGGTCACGAGCCAGGAGCGCCTCTGAAGGCGAAGAGGGCTCTCCCAACAGCTCCCATCCTCTGTCCTCGGTTCTGCGACAAAGAAGCTAACCCTCGGAGAGACCGGAACCGCGCTCCCCAACACACACACGCGCTAGTGTTTCCTCCTTCAGACCCCCGAAGGGGCCCTGTCCCTCCACCCTCCCACCCCCGGAAGACCAGCACCCGGTGAAGGAGAAGGCACCCTCCGCCCCACCTCCGCCCCGCCGGCCTGAGCGGTGTGAGGGTGACTGGGCGTCTTCGCCGCAGGAAGGGCGCCCCAGAGAGTGGCGGTGGCGGTGGCGGTTTCGGTGGTGGTGGCGGCGGCGACGACGACGGCAGGAGGAGCCGCGTCACGCCCGAGTCCTCTCCACCCCACCCCCTCGGCCCCAACCACCAGAAGCCTCCATGCAGCACGGGGAGACTCCCGGGGGACGAGAGCCGCCACTCCGCAGCCCCGGGCCTCCGGCCGCGCCCCGAGGGGTCGCGAGGGCGGAGGGTTGGCGCAGCTCGGGAAAAGGAGGGGCGTCGGGGGCGTCACGCCGAAACCCACCAGCCCCTGCTCCGGGCCCCTCTCGGGCAGAGGAGGCCGAAGGGGCCCGCCGTGTAGGCCCGCCGCCCAGGGGACGCCCCCCAACCACGGCTCACCTTCACGCAGGCGACTTCTCGCGAGGCCCCGAGGAAACCAGCGATGGCCTTGAGGCTGGCCGCGGGCAGGGGCGGTGTCCTCCTCGGCTCCTCCTGGAAGCTCGCCGCCGCCCGCCGCCCGCGGCTCCGGCTCCCGAAGCCCCGGGCCGAGAGCTGTCCGCTGCCGTCCGCCCTTTGGAGCCTCCCGGG